ATAATGTGATTATTATCATCAGTATTATTGATTATCTGCAGATTTATAATAAACACAAGTGTAGATGTGTCCAGCTGTGGGGTTTTGGAGACGTCTGCATCAGCATATGTGGATAAGAACAGGACGTGTGTTTGGATATAACTCAGTTTTCTGAGCACGTTACATTATTATTGTTCATTTATTCCTTTGCTGGAGATCAGAACTGAATTTAGAAACAGTTTTGAAGCAAATCTTTGCGTTTAACAAAGGAGCTTAAATATTTGAGCTAATGGATGTGTTCAGTGGAGTGAGTTTCCACCGTTTCCTCACTCCACCAAAGTAAAGGAGTAAAGTAAAGAGATAAAGTAAAGAGGCTGAATGGAGGAGGCTGGTTCTTTATCCTCGCGCTGCAGATGCTCTGATTAACTGTGTTCTCGCTAGAGAAGCGTTCAGCATTTACACATAAAGTCCACCATGTAAATAGCAAATGCACCATGGAGCGACGCAACTGACTCTTAAAGGGAATGAGAGACGAGACTCTGATTGGTTTAATGCAGGTTCTGCTCAAAACACAGCCAGAGCTCATTAAGAGAATCAGCACAGCCCTGTTAGACCATGCACCAGGCGCAGAGCGGATTTATCCATACGTAAAACAGCAAAAGTGGATTCCGAGACACCCTTAATGCTTTTGCGCCCTGAGCTTTAGACTTTGTGTCTAGATTGTTAAAATAGAGCCCATAGTCTTCAAATGTGCTTGACAGATGTGTTATAGGTTGTTCAGGGACAGCAGATGAAAAATAGCCTTCTGGCTAATTCTGCTGCAATTGCAGAAATACTAATTAATGTCCGTGTCTCTGCCAAATGAACAACAAAATAATAATTAAATCTTGCTCACATTTGCATGTTATTTTTATGAATGAAAGAATTAATAATTTTACATAATTTTGGACTTGGAGTGTGTAATGTACTTAAAGCTGCAGCAGGAAATCTGGCAGAGCCTATATTATAAACAAAAGCTACTGGCTGATTTAGAAATGGGGAGGGGCTACTTATTTGCCCCGCCCACATTTATGTTTAACTTCAAATTATGCCAAACATCAAATGCAAATGTGTTTTTTAAGGCACTTCAGACTCAGAGGACATTTAAGAAGTGTTTTAAAGAATACACACTAAACTAACCCTTTCACTGCAGTCTTAGATTATATTCTTATAGGTTATACAGTAAGAAATTGGACAGACGCTTTGGGAATCCAGCTCCTGAAGCCAAACGTGCTCCTACGGTAAATCTGAAAGTTATAATGTGATATCATTCTGATAGTGTGCTCTTCCAGCTATAAATCTATTCAGACGACTGAGAAATGCAGCCCCTCAGGGGCAGAATCAGTTCTTCAGTTCTGATTGAAGCTGCATTATTCAAATCACAGGCAGCAAACACTGTGAGCTGTCCATCGCCGAGACGCTAATCTACATCTGAGACTCAAACTGCTTCATAAGGAAGGACAATCTGAAACACTCAACGTGGAAACACTTCATGCGCCTTAATGCATTAACAAAGTCATACAGTTGAAGTCGGAATTATTCGCCCTCCTGTGATTTTGTTGTTTTCCTCCTTAAATATTTCCCAAATGATGTTGAACAGATTCAGGAATTGTTCTCAGTATTTCCTCTAATATTTGTTCTTCTGGAGAAAGTATTATTTGTTTTATTTGGGCTAGAATAAAACCCGTTTTTAATTGTTTTAAAGCCATTTTAAGCTCAATGTTATTGGCCCCTTCAGCAATATTAGTGTTGGATTGTCTCCAGAGCAAACCACTGTTATACAATGACTTGCCTAATTACCCTAACTTTACCCTAATTACCCTAGTGAAGATTTAAATATCAGTTTAAGCTGAACACTAGTGTCTTGAAGAATATCTGTCATCATGGCAAAGAGAAAATAAATGAGTTATTAGAGATGAGTTATTAACACTATTATGATTAGAAATTAGAACTTTCCTCTCCGTTAAACAGAAATTGGAGAAAAGATATACAGGAGGGCTAATAATTCTGACATCAACTGTATACACTAGACTGTTAATTTCTACATACAGCTGAAGCAGAATATCAACACAATGTGCTAAAGATGCATGCTAAACACATATTGCATGTTTAAACTGGTAAATAAAGAAGCTTACCATGGCTCAATGCAGTAAAAAGTGATATTAGAAGGCCAAATGACAGTATAGAGTACTGTTTTTAATATTTTTTCTTAATGCATTAATCCATATTAAGCACTTAATATGTTAATATGTTCCTGTCAGTGTCTGAATAATGCGGAGGTTAGTGTATACTCCATCAGCTGTTTTAGTTTCTGTCAGCTGTGTGTTTTTGACTGTTTGACTGTTCATCTGGTGTCTGAATAATGTGCAGGTCACAATCCTGTTGTGTTTGTGAGTGATGTTATTCATTTGTCATCATCAAGAGGGCGCTAGAGTGCACCATTGTAATGAAAAAGTAGGGTTGTAGAAGAAGTGCTCTTGAGAAACTGTAGCATGCTCACCTGAATGTAAGTGAATTTTGTTTAATCGGCATGGTGTGTTTTAATGCATTGGAAGTGTTGAGTGAAGGTTGTTTTAAGCTCAACTGAAGTAAATGGAGTGTAGATGAGAGAAATGTTAGGTGTGAATGTTTTATTAGTCATGGTAATTGAGCAGTTTGTTTTTTAAATATGTAGAAGGACGTTTGGTATTGTGGACAGTTTTCAAAGCTGTGCTGGATATTTTGAATGTACATGTTTCTTCTGAGCTTCATCTCATCACTAATCGTCAATACTGAGGTGAAGTTTGTGTTATGTTTGCACATTCGTCCATATTCTGTTTGAAATCGCATGTAAGCGTGACTTGAACACAACCATTAGNCACTGTGCATTTTACCTGTGAACAGTGTTGTGCACTGAGTGTCATTGGCTGCTAATATAATTTCACTATTTAGAATTTGCAACTAACACTTTTCTGAGTTCATATCATCAAGCAGACAGTTCTAATGCACGAATATAAACCCAACTTCACCCCAGTATCATCAGCTCTGTGGATTTAGCTAGTGCTTTTGGCTTCAGTAATGATCAGAGTTGGGTGTAACGCGTTACTGTATTCCGGGTAGATTTCAGCTTTTCCTGATTTCAGGATCGGGAGTGAAGGTAACTTCTGAAGATGTGAAGAGAAGCATTGCTGCTTATGAAGCTGTTCACATATCATGTCATTTGCGCACACAAGTTCGATATTTCCAATGTAGGCACGGCTTGCGCACACTTATTGGGAGTAAAGGCTTACATGTTCCAGATTTCTTGTATTCAACAGTATACAGGAGGGTGAATAACTCAGGAGGGCTGATAATACTGACTTCAACAGTATATAACTATATTTTGCAGTGTAACGGTGGGCAGCATGATTCAGAAGAGCTGATCAGAAACACGGAGCGCAGCAGATGCTTCAGTTAGACAGCTTGATGAAGTTTGCTGTGTTTTTTATTTTTTCTGGATCTTCTCCACATGTTGTGTCTGTCAGGATGCAGAGTGCTGATGTTTCTGTCCATATGGCTGCTCTGAGCAATAAACGACAGGTATTATTTATAAACGCTCTGATGAAACGTCTCCATCACGAGCGCTTTTGTTGAAGCAGATGGAGTCGGGAAGAGATCAGCGTGGGAGAGCTCAACGCTGCAATATGCATGAGAAACGCATTGTTTGTGCAGCTCGTTCTCTGCGTTTTGTCATTCTGAACACCTTTAGATGAAACTCAGAGAGGTTTTTCCCCTACAGGCTCATGCGACTCGTAACTTTCGTAACACAATCTCGTAACTTTTTGATTTAGTGGCTAATTCGTATGAATTCGTAAGATCTAATTCGTACAATTTAGTACAATTTGCTCATCCCCCAATGACCGTTGAGTTTAGGGGTGGGGTTAGGTGCCACGCCTCCTTTTTAAAATCGTACAATGTCGTACAACTGAACTCGTACCAATTCATACGGCGTTT